CTAAACAGATTTACAAGCTTTTTTTTATCATCATCTCCCCCAGCTCCATTCACTTGGACGCTCAGTTCCCTCCACGTGGGATTTGTGTCACCTGCCCAGGGGTGTGCATTATGGAAAACCATTGTGCAGAGAGATTCCAGAGTAAGACCCACTGGATTCTTCAGGTGCTGTAGAAACTTGCTAGAATGATGCCATAGTAGCCAAGATCTGACCCCCTTTCAATCTTCCCTGGTGCTGAAATAATCAGTTAATAGACTTTTATAGATCCTGGATCACACTGGGACTCAACCAACAGGCAGACAGCTGCAGACAAAGATTATGCTTCACATATCACCCTGATCTTGGATCTCTCCAACTCCCTCTGGAGCAGCTACTCAGTGGCCAGGCTGAACTTCAGACTAACTCAGACTGAACAAAAAAACACTCCAATATCTGAATAGTTCTCCTTGTGCCCAGTAGGTGTCAGCATAAACCCAGTATTTAAATCTAGTTTGTGTTTGCTGTAAAGACCAAGGTGCAGACCCTTGGAAATTTCAGCCGATTTTGGATTTTAAACTTCATTGCAGAACTACAAGTTTTTTTACCTCCCTGCCTCCCATCAGACACCTTCAGGGAAGGAATTCTACCTGATCAACACATCAAAGAGCTACTCAACACAGCTCACAAAGACACTCTCATGGACCCACAGGGACAGACTTCCATCTTCAGCTCTCTCTGTGCAAAAATTAAGCTTATTTCCTACCTATGGGAACTTTTTACCATCTTGTACCATCTACACTTTTCCCAGAGCCTGATGAAGGGACTTTGATCCCGAAAGCTTGCAGAAAAGGACAATTTTCTTGCCATTTTCCAGTTGGTCTAATAAAAGGTATCATTTTGGAACCAAGAGTTCTAGTTTTTTGTATGACCCTTGGAAAAAGAGTTCCTTAAACAGGGCTGCTGCTTTATATTTCTGCCTCCTGCTCCTTAGCACTGACATCCCCAGGAAAACAGGGTCTCACAGCAGGTAATACATCTCCGTCCATCCATTACTGATCTGAAAAACCTATTAAGAGGAGAAGGCATCTAGAACTATTAAAAGGGAGAAAAATCTGACCATACCTTTCAACTCCATTAAAGCACATAGGATCAGGAGAACCTTTCACAGGGACAGTGGGCACATCTACATGTGACGTTTACTGCGCAGTTGCCTAATTAACCACGCAGTAAACATCTTAGCATCTACACGTGCACCCTTATTAGAGTGTATAAAACTAATACACTCTGCAACAGGGTAGTACTTGTAAAAACTGCTGTGGAGTTTAAGTACTACCCTGCTCTGGAGTTTTTTGTGTGTGCAGTAGCACACTTGTAGATGCTGATCCAGCTGGCTGAGGCAGGAGGGTGCTTCAGTTCAGTAGCTGCCTGCTGGCTAGCCGTGCTCTGAAGCACACTGCTGCCCCAGCCAGCCCCTCCACAGCACACTGAGACCAGTTGCAGCAGCCCCTGGGCTGGCAGGCTGACTCCTTGGACCCCCTGCCAGCCAGGACTGCTGCAACCTGGCTCAACATACTGTGTACAGATGGGTGCCAGACAGCAATAAGCTCTGAAGTGATAAGCTTATTGCTGCACATTAATAAGCACATGTAGACGCACCCAGTTTGTGGGATAATGATAGTTATTCTAATCAAAATAGAATTAAGCTAGTGCATCCTCAGCTGATATTGGAATTCTCCACCTGTAATTCCATTCCATGACAATCCACTGCAAGGAAGGAGAAGACCATGTGGCTTTAAGAAATTTAAGAGGCTACTCTTATGCAAAGTGTCTACAGATACAGACACAGAAAGGAAGTAGTGCTGTGGGTTGGGCAGATTCATTTAAGGTAGTTGTAAGAGACAGTTAATATCCCTGGTGAAACAGCAGCAGCCTCCAAACCAAAACACAGGCACATGTCACTACCCAAAACAAAAGCATACGAAAGGCCACACAGGAATTTGAACTACCTAGACCAAGGGACTGTGCTGGTTATTGGTTGCATAGGGAGCAAAGGTGTAACTGAGAGAATAAAGGGAATGAGAACAGGAACAGAGAAAAGTTCCTGAAACAGCTGAAGGAAGCACGAATACTGGAGCAGCCTCGAGAAGGGTCTAAGGAGGACCTTTGGTCAGCTGCTGCCTAAAAAGGGATTGGAGCTGCTAGCCCAAAAGCTATTGCAAGTTGTTTGATTTCTCTTCTGTTCGGAGTAACTGTTTTAATTTTTTGTAACTAAAGAGGTTTGTGTCAGACTTCTGACAGACATCAATGTCTCCTAGCCAATAAAACCCACAAGACCCTGACCTTTGACTGACCACTCAGGTCTGAATGGGGAAATGGTAGAAAATCTCTTCTGTAAGTACAGATCGAATGACAGGGCCAGGATGAGGGAAGGTCAGATTGGAAAACCCTTTTTCTGGTTCAAACAGGAGGCTGGTTGGCGTTTGACAGATCCTACTGGATGAAGAGCTGCTTGGAGGTACACTTGCTAATCAGAGACAGCTGCACTAGGAGCAGACAATAGCCTATGTTGAGAGAGCAAGCATTGATGGCCTTTGCCATGGCCCTGCAAGCACATATTGCCATGAAACCACTCCTGAGTCTTCGATTGATCACTTATATCCACTCTGAGTTGCAGTAATAAGCCGAAGATATAATGATACCTAAGATATAGTGAGTCCAGAAGTTCTGCAGATCATTCAGTAGATCCCCACCCAATTTGCAGAATCTCAGACTCCTACAGTCCAGCAGCACTTATTTTGGCCTTGCAGGGTGTGGGTGGGGGAATCTTCTTAGGTCAGGGCTAAAACCAAGGTTTGGCATTACAAAGCAGTGAAAAAGCACTGAACATGCTAACATGGGCTGAAATTTCCTATGAGCCTAGCAAGTATTTTAACCCAGCAGAAACCTCTGCTATAGCTCTGATGCCATCCTCCAGTGAGGAGGTAGAACTGATAGCTCTCTGCACAGGGTGCACAAAGAAAAGGGGTGGTAACCCAATTGCATGTTCTTCCTTGCAAACCAACACGCAAAGCTGCCCCACAGTCTTAAAGGATAAGAGAATGAAAACTCCAGGAGGAAACCCAACATAGGCCAAAGCACTTACCAGCTGCAAGGGACTACAGCGACCGCTATGGCTTTCAGGGACAAAATGACCTCTTACGGCTGCAGTTGGTCTCTTTCCCAGATTTAAGGAGCCACATACCACATAAGTACCAGCTAAACAAGGCTTTATAAAATGGGGAACTCAAAGCAGGACCTGCACTGAAGAGTGAGCAGTGGTAAGCAGTGCTGTATGAATGGTTAGGTTGGAATTCCCACCTGTGTGTGAGGGGTAGGGTTGAGTTAGATGCTCTGAGACTGCCTCAGTCAAAGCCTTCTGGGGATTTACAGCTGCCTTTTGGTGTATTCTGCTTTGGTAGATCTTGTACAATTATCAGCCAGGGTACTCCATCGCCATCCTGTGACGTGCATGGTACCAGCCTGCAGAGGCCTGTGCAGGGGTGTGAGGAAAAAGGCTGCACTCCACTGCTATGAGATTTTTATATCCTGGCCCCCATGCAGTATGTCACCCTTGTAAGGGTTTGTCTGCAAGGCAGACTCACCAGGCCTGCTAGCTCCCAAAACTGAAGGAACGTAACCTTGTTGGGGGGGCATTGCAGACAGGCTAATCAGCTTATAGAGCCAGAGCTAACGGGTCCTGCAGGGCTGCATCACACCAACACAGCTACCCTGTTTCTGGTTGGGAAACTAGCATGAATGCATCCTAAGTGCACTCCCTCTTCCCCCCTTCTGTGCAGCTGCACATCTCACACTGCTGCCCATAGGATAGCTTTGTTTCCCTGCACTCTCCCCTCCATCACGGCAGATAGTTTTGCCTGTACCAGTACTCTTGGAATGGCATCACATCTTCCCTAGGCCAGCACCTATCCTTGGCATGGGGAAGGTGGCACAGAGCAAGGGAAGCTGGCCAATGTGGACACAGCTCCTGAAGGGACCCATCTCTCCCTACAAGCAGCCCAGCAGCCATGGAAATGGAGCTTCCCTTCCCCACAGACCCATGGAAACCAAGAGGCCACATCTTTTCCTCTGGCACGTTCCTTCCACATCCCCTGCCTCTTCTAGGGTGAGGGGGGTTAGTGAGGAACTTCACAGCACTTCCTGGTCTTGGAATGGGGAGAGGGGGTCAAGTTCTATCTATAGTACCTGTCAATGGCACTACCAGTGAATCAGCCCAGCCAATTGGGTTCAGGTCCTCAGTGCAGTGTCAATACACTGTACTGTACTACCCCACTTTAGTAAAGCAACTCACAGCGCCCCCTGCTGAGAGAGGGTCACTGCAGATATATCCTTAAATGGGGCAGCAAACACTGAACAGCATTAGCTAATATATGGCAGCAGCTGGCCTGGCATGCAGGTGGCACACACGGTTTGGGGTGTCGGGCTGCCAGCTTTCTGCCTGGCAGCACATTACTGCAGACATAATGCTGTTTCCAACAGAGCAAGACCAGTAAGGAGCTTTTATGCTGGAATCTGGTCTGCAGGTGACAGAGCTGGGGCATGACAGGGGAAAAAGCTGCAGCTGCATATATGAGTGGCAGGGTTACCAACCTTCTTTGTCCCTGCAGCACAGGCAAATAGCTCTCACAAGAAGAGCCCATGTGGCCTTCCTTGCGCTTCCCAGCAGGTGAGGGCAGGGGCATGCTCATGCATACACATATGCACACCAAACCCATTGCTCAAACACTGAGGTCAGGCCACTGCTCTCTGGGCTAAATATGAGCCTAGCTTCACCCCTCTCAGGCACTGCTGCTCCATGCAGGTGCATTTTCCCCAAATCCCTAGTGTTCTGCTTGCCCACTTGGCATCCCAACATGCCTGAAACAAACAGCCTCAGGGACACCAAGCCAGGTGTTGACACAAAGCATTAAACATTTTCACTCTTTATTTAAAAAAAAAAACAAACAAGTTCCCACTCTGGGTTCCCCTCATCTCCCATGTTCCTCTTGCTGGAGCATTTGCAGGTACAGTCTCCAGCCTCCTGCTCACGTGGAGAGAAAGTTCCTGTGTCCCAGACCCATGCCAGTGTCCTCCAGCAAACAACAGCCAAGGGCTTGGTGCCATTCTGCGCATGCTTCCCCTTCCCCAGCAATCCTAGATTTCACTGCCCCAGCGATGTGTCCTGCCATCCCTCCATGTGGGCACAGGAGACATGTCCTGGACATATCACTCTCAGCATATGCTTGAAGGAGGGCCAAGAATAGCTGTACCAGTCTGTGCTCCTCAAATGGACCAATGAATGAGCCCTATGGGTCTCTGCTTTTCATCTGCGCAGTCTGCAGGCTGTGTGTCCTGGTAGCTGGCTCAGTGCTGGAAGCGTGGGGAGCTGATGTGGGGCTGGTGGAAGGAGTGTGTTGCATAGAGCACCTCTGGGTGAGGCGGTGGCGGGGGCGGCGAGGTCAGGATGGAGCAGAGGGGTTCGTGGGAGCTCAGCATTGAGGAAAAGTGCTTCATTTCCTCTGTCAGTTGCTTGATTTCCCTGCGCAGAGCAGCATTCTGTCTCTCCAGGTCCTCACTCTCCTGAGGAGAGAAAACCAGCATGAGGCTATGTTAGCAAGCCAGACTCAGATCAGCCACCAGGGCATGGGGTGAAGACATCCTGAGTGGGAGGTGGGCAGAGAAGTGGTGGGGGCACAGAGGGAGATATCAGCTTGGCAAAGCAGTGGCAGGAGAGTAGCTAGATTAACTCTCAGGGTGTGGGACTGCAGGGGGACCTGGCTTCCATCTCTGTTATGATTATTCACTGGTCTTGCAGTGCCTAGAAGCACCTAGGTCAGTGCTCCATTGTGCTGGGCACTGTACACACATGTAGGAAAATGGCAGTCTTTGCCCCAACACCTCTGCAATCCAAGGCACAAAATATAACAGGCCGAGAAGTCAAACAAGCAGTGAGGAGGTACGGTGGGGGATGGGCGAGGATGTGCAGAGCTGTACACCAGGCTGGGGCAGCAATCACCACTCGGCACCTGCCTAACCGTTTGTTACCAGGCTGCAGTTTCCTGTGTGCTTTGTACCAGACACGTTTGAGGAGAGACTTGAAAGAAGAGGTGGTGGTGGCTTTACTGATCAACTGGTCTGTCTCAGTCGCCGCACCTCTGAAGTGCCTGGCTGCCTCTGCAGCATCTTGATGCTGGCAGAAAAGCTGCAGCCGCTACCGGGGAACAGCTAGCCAGGATCCGGGGGCGGGGGTCGCAGCCCTTCCCCTCTCTGCCCCAGAGAGTTTCCAAAATGACGTGCTTCCTGTAAACCCAAAGCAGAGCAAGGCCTGGGCAAATCCCCCTCCCCCGGCCGGACAGGGGCCTGCCACTAAGCCAGTGAAAGTCAGCCCTCGGCCCTGCTTTCTCCCCAGCAGCTTCTTACGAGAAGTGACAGCAGCGCGTTCCCCGCCCAGGGACTTGCAGCTCCCTCTCACGCACGCACACCTCCCAGGCCACAGTCCTGAGGCAGCCGGAGCTAGGGGGAGGGGTGGTGAATAACCGCCGTCTTTAACCAGAAAACCACCTGCCACAGGAAACCTGTCATTGCCCTGGAAAGAGAAGACTCACTGCTTCCTGATACGGCCCAGGGAAAGCAGCCAGATGGCAGGGGAAAGGGGGCAGGGGAAGAAACGTGCCAGAAGAAAAGAGAAACTGAGGCCTTAGGAGGACAAAAAGTAATCACAGCAGCAGTGAGATGATGATGGTGATGACAGTAGTAATGATAATAATAATAATAGAGACTTTGCCTAAATAATTCCTAAAGCTTCCGAGCCATACTGTCTGTAAAGTACACCCCTAATGTGGAGCACTTCGAGTTGCACAGAAATATACACAATGGTCTGGAGAAGGACCTGAAGGTCCCTGTGTCCAGTTGAGCCAGGGGTGGGGGAATTAGCGAGGCCGAGGGCTGGAGCGCTGGTTGGAATTTAGCCAGGGCACCAGGCCAGCAACTCTTGAATAGTCTTGAATGACCATCCACCATTCCCTATGTCCCACCTACCCCTCCATCCCAGACAAGGCAAACCTGCCACATCTCTGTTCATCTTGTTGATATAGCTAGTGGCACTAGACTGATTTTTAAAGGTACCTTGCCTCATTATTGAGGTACCACATGCTAGTTAAATCATAGCCAGTATTTACAAAAATTGCTATCCTCGTGGGGAATCTACACATATTTACTGCAGCGGGACTTTGACAGAGGGAGAAGGGACCTCTCAGATAACTGGATCCCAGACAGTGGAATGCTTCACAGATCATAATCGAAGCTGCACCCAGCAATTGTTAGGGAGGTAGGGTGTAATTTGGGTGTTATAGGCCCATGGTGTCTCACTCTACTCCAGAAATAAGCCACTGCATCCTGGACCATTTAGAATCTTTGAGTCTTTTTAAAGGGTAGCCCAAAGCTTACAGTGGCACAGATTAACCTGTGAAATTTTACATCAACCAGGAAAACTCACCAACTCTGAGGCACCTGGAGATGAACAGCACTTGGGGATCCCATAGCAGTAAGTGAATCTAATAGGACCCAAAGACCAGACCAATATTGGCAAAGATTTAACATCCACCTTTGTCTCTTGTCTCTGTCCCATTTCCCCAGCTGTCTCCATGCTTGCTATCATTCATTCTGCCTTACCTAGACTGAGCCAAGTTGCTCTGCTACCAAGCATACTGCTTGCCATGCACCAGAAAAGCAGAGCGTGTAGAATCAGTGTCACGTGCATTGTGGTAATACTGCAAGCCAGATGCCTCACTTTCTCTGCCAGGAAAGGTGGCCAGGAGAACACTAGAGAAGAGTCCCTATCTGCCACCATCCTCTGAATGTCTTGGAGAAGAAGTAAAAAACAGACAGAGAGGCCACCCCATCTGCTGCCTGTGGCAGATCAAGTTACCCTAAAGCCTGGCCTGTGGGTACTGCAGGCTGATGACACAGCTAACAAAATCAGCTTAGGGTAGTGTCTACCTCTAAAGCGCCATGAATAGGGAGAGACCCCTTTGTCCTATACCCAGGTCCAAATGAGGACCAGCAGGATGCAATAAAAGCAGTTCAAACATCAAGTTCTCCTAGATTCTTCCCAGAGTGGGGAGAGCATAAAGGCCATTAAGGCCATTAAGGATGGTGGAAATTTTCTTGAGCAGAGTCCTGACTGCACCCTGCTTAAAGCGCCTTCCATCCTGAAGGGCACTAGACAATCTACACCACTGCCAGACATAGCAGTAAACTGCTGACACGTCAGCAACAG